TAAAAGATAAAAGAGGGTGGAGAGAGCTAAACATGGGAACAACGCTGTAAAATTAGAAAGAACAAAGAGAAACAGTTGCGGAGGGGGTCAAGCTTTACGTTAAGGTCACGATAGCAGCAAGGAAGGCTATTGAAAAATCAAACCCCGTCGATTAAAAAACGGATTCAGTTTGAAATCCAACGATTATTCTGATTGACTGATATTTGAAAAAACCTGAAGACTATGATAAACTATCTTTGCTTTAATAAGGACAGTCACACAGTAAATTGTGAAAATAGATTATTTCTTGACAATATAGAATACAGAAAACTTATTGAGAATCAGCTGATCCTTTTTATACTCAATATATAAACATTTAAGCATGCTCTTCCTTCCTTTCAGTTCTTGTCTTATGCTATTCAGAACTACACATATATCATAAAAAAGACTCTAATATGCTTTAAACAATAAAACATTTGTTCTCATATTTTCCAAATATAGTTTTTAATACAGTTTTTTCATTGAATATAAATCTTAAATAATCTCATTTCATGTGTCTTGTCCAATCAGGCTGTGAACAATCATCGCTCAAGCTAACTTCTTTTCTATTGTAGTAAAATATTTTTACTATCTGTCCAACGCCCTGTTCTGGAACAGCTTTACAAAAACACGTTAGATAGTTTACTCACACTTTCTCTCGCCATCCATATTTCCTGTCAAAATTTGTAAGCTATTTTTCCTCATTATACGTCAAGGAAATATCAACTGTCTCTTACTGTTTCTACGTATAAGCGTCCTTTTTGTTTTCTATAAAACGTCCTCGTTACTAACACGTTTCGTCCATGGTATTGTCACGATTCTTCTGCAGTACGACATCATTGTTGCCTTCAGTCTTCTCTCCTTCCATGAAGACATTTTGACATATAGAAGAATTGATGTAATATAGAAATTCAGAACTCTTACTTATTTACCATGACCTGTTTCTAAGTACTCTATTTAGGTTTTGGTACACATAATTTCTTATCTAAATTCGAGTACGGATTTCGGTGTGAGATTTTACAAACTTTAAGATACTTCCCAGATATTACAAATTCTGTATGTTTTTACTTCAGCAAAATTACGAGAATATATAAATATATTTTGGCTGATTACTGCTTTCACTAGCCATAATGCAATTGCATTTGCCTTACTTCTAAAACTGTATTTTTATAACATTAAAGAAAAATAGTCTTTTCATATCATTAAATATAAGAATTATTTATTCAACATTTTGTTTTATTTACGACTTCCCGGAAATTTTCCTGAAGTATTTATCTCTTGTATTTTATGTCTGCCCATTTCTTATGCACAGCCAACTGAAATAATTTTTCTTTCCTTTTCTCTTTCCGACTAAGAGATTTGTCAACTGATCTGTTTGGCTTTAATCTAATGTTTCTAATAATTTATTAAAGTCGGATTTCATTTTCTGACAAAACAGATTAACATCAAAATCCATTAATCCAAATGCTTTTATATTGCAAAATGTTCACATTGGATGTCGACTACACTGTAGTCATGGAAAAGAAATGCCTTCGATATTACATTAATAAGTAATATTTTTTTAGTGTATTTGTCGAGTAATTGATTTGGAAAGAAAAACAAAATATTTCCGTTTTACAAAATTAAAGTGTTTACAAATTTCCGGATGAAAGGCATTTGATTGCAAGTGTAGAAGGAATCTCATATTTATTTAGAAGTGATTATTGGAAAAGTAAGATTGTAAGAGCGATAAAAAAGATATATTAAAACAGTTCATATAAAAATAAGTAACAAACAAACAAAACAATTCGTAACAAAATATGTTTGTTTACAAATATATCTTTAAAGAGTGATAATGTATATTGAATCACACGCTAGAAACATAATGAGTGTAATTGTTTTATTCAATGAAATTATATTGTTTATTAACTTCAGGAGAATTATTAGCTTTGCTTAGATTATTCGCACAAGATTGTTATGTTCTTGTGATTTTTGTGATTGTGTTTTGTCGCAAAACATAAATGTTTATTTTTTTCGGCTATTAATTTTCCAGGAGAAATGATGATTTGAGTTATAAATATTAACAGTAAAATGATTGGAATGTCAATAACCTTAATTTAAAAAATTAGAATATTGATGCCGTTAATGTAAAAAATTGGAATATTGATGACATTAATTTTAAAAAATGGGACATTGATCTCTTTCTTTAAAAATTAGAATATTGATACCCTTAATCAAATAAAGGAAAATTGATGCACTTTCTTAAAAATTAGAATATTGATGCACTTCCTTACAATTTAGAATGGTAATGCCCTGAATTTAAAGAAAATCGAACATTCGTGCCCTTTATTAAAAAGAAATGAATAATCATGCCCTTTTTTCAAATTTCAGATATTGATGACCTTAATTTAAAAAGAAATGGAATGCCGTTTCTATAAGAATTAGAATATTGATGTCCTTAATTTTATAAAATGGAACAGTTATGCTTTTGCTTTAAAAATTAGAAAATTGATGCCATTAATTTAAACATTGATGCCCTTTCTTAAAAATGAGACTATTGATCACCTTAATTTAAATTATTGTTATATTGGTGCCCTTTCTTTAAATTTAGAATGTTGACGCCCCTTTCTTTTAAAAAAAAATCTTTCTTTTCTCATGGATTTCACGGCGAATAAAAGCTAAAATGTGACCCTCCAAAATGAGAACAGCATCAAGTTTACCAAAAATTAATTAATTTATTTTTTTAAACAATGTTTATTTAATATTTATTTTACATTAAGTGTATTTTGGAGTGATAATAATAAAACGGTAAATTGCCAAGTTTACAATATTTCACTTGGGTTTGGCAACTCGTTTCTCAAATTTCCTCTGTATTTTTGTTCACCTCTTATTCTTTGCTATCTTCTTTGGTCTTCCACGATTTAATGTAAATGTAATTCGCAAATGCTTTCTATTACATCCTTTATTTCACCATTGCATATATATATGAATACATATAGTTTTACCGTGTGCTATATTTATGGGTTAAAGTGCTCAATATCAGAGATAGAGCTTATGTATTAATTAATAAAAATAACTGATCCAAGTGCGACTTTTGGATAATAAGTGCGACATTACTGTAATTATTGAACAAGTTCATGCCACTTCGACAGAAAATTTACCAGTAAAAAATTCGTTTATCACCATATTTGTACATGAACGCACAACTGTAACAAATTTAAAATCAAACTCAGCGTTGCTATTGCACGCTTCAAAAACAATAACTCATTTCCAATAGCATTTTCGGATACAACGATACATATATTTTCGTTGTCCTCTTATTACTAAGAGAAAAAACAAGAACAACATCTATTCCATACCTGAAGATGTCTGTAGGAACAAACGAAAGCTTGTAGTCAAAATAAGAACTAATGCGGCAGAAATTTATAGAAACAAGGATCTTTTCATTCATAACGGATTCGGAGGTTTTTGTATATTATTTGAATTGCTTGCGACGATGGATTTCTCGCCAATTAAATCATTAACCTTTGCATTTGTTTTTTGTGTGAATAATTCATGAATTTGTAAATTGATTGCACGTTTATCGAATATATATATATATATATATATATATATATGCTAGTGCTGTGGATATAACTAAAGTTCCGTTTATATATATATATATATATATATATATATATATATATATATATATATATATATATATATATCTGTATGTATTTATTTATTTATTACATTGAATATTATAGACATATACTAGTCATCTGATATACGCGTAATCGTGAAACTTGTATTACGACTAGAGCAATCCTTTCATTGGATTTAACTCTGTTAAGCGTTTTTGATCGGTGTAGGCAATTTAGGCTTCCCACAGTTTACTTTGCGGAAGGGTAATTTTGACTTGTGGCTATTTTTGTGCTTGTGAACCTGCGGACTGCTGTCCAATTCCATTGGGAATTACACACTGACAAGAATAAATAAATAAACATTTTAGGTTGAATCATGAATAATTTCCGATTCTGTGAGCGAATAGTAATACAGGTTGTATCATAACAATTGTTTAAAATACTCGGCTGTTTAGAACAAATTTACAATACGCTGTATTTCCAAACTTATCTTCCCCCCATTCATATATTAGATTTGGTACAGAAATAAGCAGTTTCTTTTTTGTGAGTCGAGTTTCTTCAAGATATATACAGTTAGGACTCTCCAGAACTTCCTATCCCATTAACTGTTTTACCTTCGCCGACCATATTGAACTGCTCCCGAACTGATTTTGCATCGACCGATAGTCGATGGCTACAAACGCTTTGATGGAGAAATTCTCGCTAATGAAAACCAGATTCAAGTGTTTACCAAAACCATTTTTAATCTGTATAAATTTGGTCGAACGCTATTGATTAGAATGAATTCATTGCAAATATCGTTGAATATATAATGGAATGAAATGTGATTGCAATTTAGATTTTGAAGAAATGATATCTAAACAAAGAAATTATTTAAAACTCAAGCTGAAGCATTCATGTTAGTATTCTGTTGCACGAACTTCCCTTTTTACTACTTTCCTTCACGCATTCTATCTATCTATCTATCTAGCTAGCTAGCTAGCTAGCTAGAAGGATAGATAGATAGCTAACTCACACACATACATCTCTTTCTCTCCCTTACAGAAACACACATTCACACATTATCTCTCTCTCTCTCACACACACTGTCACACACTCTCTCTCACCCTGTCTCATCCGCTCATACACACGCTCTCTCTCTCTCTATCTCTCTTTCTCTCACGGAAACACTCTCTCCCCCACACACATAAAACCCTTTCTCTCACACACACATGCACACTCTCTCTTCTCCAAACACACTCTCTCTCCCCTGACACACACTCTATCCCACACTCTACCTCTCCCCCCCACACAGAGACACACACATAATACATACTCTCTCTCACCCGCACACATACACAGATTGTCTCACTCACAAACACACATTCTATCTCTCAGACATACTCTCTCTCTCTGTCTCTATCTATCTATCTATCTATCTATCTATCTATCTATCTATCTATCTGAGTATGTTATCTATCTATCTATCTATCTATCTATCTATCTATCTATCTATCTGCTCTCAGGCATCGCTTTTTTAATTCATTCCCGCCAATTATGTAGATTTATTTGACGAAGAGCGTAGATGATACCATATCAGCAATGCCAGAAATTGAACAAAAACTGCACTCTAATTCGAAATGAATAATGTGAGATGTCGTACACCAGAACAATACCAATATATTTCAATATATTTAAGCAGTAAATGGTTGATTGTTTCACTGACTGAATTCGGGACTTTTGTGTCGTTGTAAAGTAGCCGATATATATGCGTTTCACCAGGGCTACATAGTTTTGAATTCAGAGTTGTCTTTCTACTAGGTTTGATACCAGCCAAAGATGTAATGTCCCGTATACCTTACTATTTAACCCATAGCTTGGAGCAGAAATCTAGAATCATACCTTTACCAAAGACAATTGAGTTAATGTAAATACAAGAACACACGACTGGAATTTGTATTCGCCTCTCAGATTTTGCCTTGTGTGCCGCTATCATTTGCACCACACGCATATTACTTACGCAGTTAAAATTCTTAATATTATAGCTTATATTCATTTTTTTATTCTAAATATTTGTAAAAAAAAGTGTTGTTTTCATTTAGTGGTCGGGTGTTCAATCCTTGGATCAGTTCGCTAAATAATAGATTCTGATTTAGTCGGAAAGTGCAAAAAAAAAAGAAAAGATATCACAGGAGTATAATTATAAAGCAGACAATGCATATGAAATATCTTATATAATCCAAAATAAATGAAAGCTGACGATGGTAGCGAATATTTAGTTGAAGCATCGTGATTTTAACAATAAAATATAATAATACTATGTGAAAAATAAATTGTCACTCGCTACCAGAAACGTAATTAGAACAATAGAAGAAAAAGCAATGCAGTAATATAATGGAAATGTGTTGGATTCAGTTCATTCACTTTCATTGACGCTGTCACACATAGGAAAGGTCTGTAGGAACATTATTTTCGTGGCATAAAATGATGACGCGCTATTAAATTATTCAGGTGTGACAAGACTTTCGGATCACCCTGTATATTGACAAATTCTAATGTGAAAAGTAGAAACAAAATTGGTCAATATGATCAAGATAATTTTATTATCGATATTTACAGAACATTTTCAGGTTTTAAAATTGTCACATAAAAATGTTATCTCTTTGGTTTTATTCATATCGAGCTGTTTTTGTAGAAAAATAAAACAGTGAAAAATATTTTGTGGATCACTTTCAATATATATATATATATATATATATATATATATATATATATATATATATATATATATATATTGTAATATAAATGGAGGGTTGAGCCGATACTATTGTGTAAATTCCAGAAGACTTACTTTGGTGGAAGTGTGATCAAGGATTGTGTTTACAACATTGCATGTAATTGCAGAATGGAACGATTCTACCGTATTAGTCACGACTAAATGGTGTAAATGTTTAAGAATAGCTGTATAGATCAAAATATTTAGGGAATGAATTTAAAATATTAGTAGGGATCAAGAATAGAGATTGAGAAAGTACACTCAACCTGAAAACGTACTCTATCCAGATTATCTATCAATGTTGAATAGAGAAGTATATAATAAATATGGAAAATCATAAATTTGATGTTGAAATCTACATAAAAACGGCCCGTTGTCGAGGATCAAGCAGTTTGCTAAAATTTCAGTGTGTAAGCGTTTGGATCAAGAGTACAAGCTTTCACCCATCTAGATACGGACCAGGCTCGACGTGGCTTAACTTCAGTGATCGTATGAGAACTGGTGTTTTAACGTGATGTGGGCACAATTTAATAGTGTACTTTTCGGAAAGGCATCATGACATCGATGCTTGCTGGATTAGCTCGACTGTTATTGTCTATCCGCAGAAACGAGATTTAGTTTTATAATGGTCCATTGATCTAGGTTGGATAAAACCTAGAGATTAATACATCTGACACAATTTTGATGTCATCTAATCTTAAAGTTATATGGAACACGACAAGAAGCAATGTAGCGAGTATAGAACATCCTTCTCTATTGTAATGATCAACTAACTTCACTCGCTGACCATTGTCTCGTGTATAAACACTCTGTCTATCAACTTCCACGCAACGCCTCAAATATCAGTATTATTACTGTGTAACCCGGATATAAGAGAGTTGTCGGGACCGGAGAAGAAGTCTCTTATATCCGGGTTTCTCTTATATCCGGGTTTGGTCTATTTTGTTTAGGTAAGTATGGGGACACTTTGGGACCAGAGAAAATCTCACTTATATCCGGGTTACACTGTACATCATTTTTTATCGACAATCCCGTTATATCAGTAATTTCCACAAGAGCAATTTCAGATTGGTGAGAGTTTGGTAGTGCTAGATGCTGAGGCAATTTAAACATTAGTAATTAATTTTTACTTGTCTTTTGTCCAATGTATAATCTAGTAAAGTTTAGCCATAGTCAACGGTCTAATTAATTCTCGTATATGAAATGTAAACACCATTAGTTGTTGATAACATGCAGTTAGAACAACTGAAAAAAAAAACTGCGCGTAATTTATAAAAAAAAAAGTAGATATCTATTCACAAGTCCTCATCTTCATTGATATATTCACAACATTTCGGCCGTTGTATGCTCCGGCCTTCTTCAGGTGATTGGAATTTCGAAACGAACCCTTTATTTCGTCCACTGGAGTAGATTGTTCTAGATCCATTTTATTTCCCTTTAACAAAGCTCTTGAAGTTTTGGTTCACCACTGCTGTGGCCTGGTATTGAACTCCCAAGTCTTTGGGTCTAGTCACTGCATCTAGCTAACGTTTTTATCCACTAGGCCCCGAGTCCTTGAGGGCATCTGTCTGTAGGAGTTATTAAACTAATTTCTCAGCAAAGTTTTTTTTTTACCAGTGTTCATATTGCAATTTTTCTGTTATTATTACATTTTTTTTTAATAGATCTCATATTTCATTTTTTTTTATTCATTGCTTTTCTCTAGCACTTTTATTAGCACAATATTGTATTCATATTTATGCTTGATCCTTTCAGGAGATTTTGTGCTAGCATAGGTGCTGATTCTTTAAGTTTTAGTATTTTCCAGTGATGCTCTTTGTCTATTATTTCAACCTCATCTCACAAGGGGGCGGTGATCACCCTTTTCCCTCCATATGTAGTCAGCAACGCGTGGATCATCCACATTTAATGACATAAAGAAACAGAGAAAACTGCTTCCCCACCAGTAATTTGTCGAATATTAATGATGCAGTTAAATGCAGGTTCCAATAATACCGAAAAATGTATCTTTATACTCATTATCTGGCCTGATTTATTGATATTGTGTAACTATAAGCTAATTATAAAATTAATATCTCTTTATCTGCGAGATAAAACATATAGTATCTAAATATAATCTCTGACATAAATGATATATTCTGATTTATAACATATTTGTAGGCCATGATTTTCAGCATATAAGCCTTCGTAGATCTCCCAATATACAGTATTGTTCGATAAAAGTGACTCATCTGATTATTTTTAATAATAATATTTTTTATCTATTGTTTTTGGGGGTTAAAATAATTTTAATCTTACTAATATAAGGACGCCCTCCCGACCATTTAGAAAAAAAGTTTATTCACCCTAAGGTATTCTATTGATAATTATAAATTTGGATATAAATGAAATTCAGGAAAAAACTGTGCAAAAAAAGTGACTCAAATATCGCATTCTAATGATTAAACTGGTAAATTTAAAGAGCATTTGATAAAATATTGAAAAGTATTATATATATAATACACACAGAAAAATATTCTAGAGAATTCTAGAACAGCTTAAATTAAATTCCAAAAAGCCTCATACAGTAAAAAAAACAGCTTGACGTAGCCAATCAGAACCAATAAGGCATCTATTATTGCCCTCTCAAAAGCAGGCAAGTCTACAAGAGAAATAGCAGAAATTGCTATAACCTCGCAATCAACTGTCTCTCGAGTGCTTAGGGCACATAATGGTGCCATTCTTGCTCCAAGGAAGGAAACAAGGGGACGAAAGAAAAAGATAGATGATAGAACTGGCAGGGTTGCCAAGAGAGAAGTTGCGAAGAATAGGAGTATAACTAGCCAAGAAATTGTAGCCAGTCTAAGCGAATAGCAATGTGTTAGTCTTGCCTCTTCAGCAGTCTGTCGGTGGCTGTTAGAACAAGGCTAGAAATCTTGTACACGAAGGTTTAAGTCGCTAATAAGCAAAGCCAACAAAGCCAAGGGACTTGAATGGATTCACTATTACAAACATTTCACCGTAGAAGACTGGAAGAATGTTCTCTTCTCCGATGAAACGAAAGTTGAGCTAAATTCAAGGGATAAGCGATCTAAAATCCGAAGAAAAAGCTTTGAAAGCTCTTGGAATTTAGCAGTAAGTACTATCAAGCATTCGTTCAGTATAATGTTCTGGGGATGCTTTTCTTTTCATGGAACTGGTTTCTTAAAAAAGACAAGTGCATTTTAGAGTCTTGTCTGCTCCCTTCTGCTGAAAGGGTTAAAATCGACCCCACGAAGCTCATTTTTTATGCAGGATAATGCTCCCTGTCACAAATCAAAATTGATGAATGAATACATTGATGAGAAGCAGGTGAGTGTTATGACATGACCACCCCAATCTCCTGATCTCCACCCCATAGAAAACTTATGGGGCATTATAAAGTACAGGCTCTAAAGAAAGTAGTTGAGCAACAAAGAGGATTTGATTGTGACTTTCATATTCGAATGGAATTCAATGCTTGGAGATGAGATTTACTAGAACCTAATCAAGTCAATGCCAAAAATGGTTGAAAAGGTTATTCAATATAAAGGAGGACCCATAGATTAACAAATATTTCGAACTATATTACTTATTATAAATGAATTATACCTCTATTATTCTTTATTTAAAGCTATTCGGTTATGTTTCTATTGATTACTAGTTGCAAGAAATAAGCGAGTCACTTTTTTTGCACATAGCATTTCCCTAAATCTCATTTATATCCAAAATTATAATTATCAATAGAATATCTTAGGGTGAGTAAAC